GATCAACCTGGTAGACTCAGTCCAGGCAGGTCCAGTCCCTTCCTCCCAGCCTAAGCCAAGTATCCCTGCATAAGCTCCAGGTTTCAAACAGCCAACTCTCTCAGTCATTTTTCTTTATGTCCTGTAGAATGTCTGGCAGTTTTCTCTGTGAAGCAGGAACCTGAAGGACCATTTCACCAAGGAAAGTTCAATGGTCACCTTCCTATGGGTCCTGTATGTCCAGTTGATATATTTTTTTTAAGTAGTACAGGCAAGAACAGTTTTTTGTCCAAATGGCTATTTTTGTCAAGAAGAAGATAAACTCTATATAGAGTTTCTTTGATGCCCATCCTCCTCTCTTAAGTAAATCGGTGATGCCAAGAGAAGACATGTCTCACTGTCCAGAAAGTCTAAATTTTTAAAAACATTTTAAATGTCATATTCTGTAGGTCTTTGAAGTATTTGAAGATTACCTGTCTATCTGAAATATATCTATGTATACCTAGAAAACAACATGACTATAAGTTTGACTATCATAGAAGATTAATTATTAATCTGTATTTCTTAATTATCCATTACAATCTAAATGAGTTATATAAACATAATACCTTAAACAGAGTAGAAATATATATACAGTATAACAAAATTAACTTCAAAATTGTATCAATAAACTAAAATCTATACCAATGTAAAACATTTTTAACAAGTTGTTGCTCTTTAAAAGTAGGTTCATTAATCGACCCTTTTCTGAGGGGCAGGATGATAGCGGCAGCGAAGAGTAAGAAAGGTGGTTTTAAGTCTCAGCTCTCCGCTACTGCTCTGACCTCTTGGGTTTTTAACTCTGTATTTGGCTCTGTGTTTCTTATTTAATAAGATGGTTACATCTACACTGCTGTGATAAACACTGACCAGAACCAGCTTGAGGAGGAGAGCGTTTACATGGCTCACAGGTTATAGTCCAGCAACAAAGGAAGCCAAGGCTTCACCTTCATCCACCTTAGCTAATTTTGAATTTTAACTGTATTATGATAGTTCAGAGAATCACTGAATGTATAAGCAGTTTTAAGTTTAAAATTATGTGTATTTAATTTGATAGAAATGTATTGTGTTCATTATTAAAATAATTATATTTTAGTCAAGATTACTGACTAAAGTGTTTTAAAGTCTTTTTCATAAATAGTTCCCACCTGATCATATTTATTTAAAATCTAAGATCATATTTAGTTATTTGTTGAACTTAACTGAAATTCCTTCATACCCTTACATTTTAAAATAAAAATAATTTGTTGCTTTTACAGCA